GCATTTCATGTGATGAGATAGTGAAAAGGTTTGTGTTGGCCTAGAGATATTCAATTAGGATGGACCTTAATTCAAGGGGAAACTTGAATATTATCTTTATCGATCAAGTCAGATTATCGCCAAGCTGGATAGACTCAAATTCACCATTGATAATGAGTTTAACGTCATTCTCTCGTACATCTAGGTCAAACGTATTGGTATCCCCTTGACTTTATCCTACTCCTGCTGCCGATGACGTGAGAATGTTCTTAAGGATGAACTCTTTGATCTATTTTACTTCTTCTAGGTTGGGGCTAATGGTGGTCGGTCTTCCTTCTCTATCATGATAGGCTACCTTCAAGTGGACTAGAGTTATTACCATATCTAGATTTTCCATGAAGGATCTCCCCAGGATACCTCTAAAGACACTTCTACACAGAACTACAAGAAAGTTGAAGATTACCTTTCTCTCATGCACTCCTTCTCCAATCGCCAACGTCATATTTTTCGTTGCACTAGGGATAGTTATTGAATCGTTGAAGACCAACAGATCTCCACCGTAATACGAATTAAAATATGTCTGCTGAATGCCTAACTCTTTTAACGTATCAACGTAGAGGGCGTTGCAAGAACTTTCATCATCCATAAGGAATCTTGTAAGTTTCGATCAACAAGTGGAACCGCTAGAATTATAGGCAAATTGAAGTTTGAAATTCCTTTGATCTTTTTCCCATATAGAAACCCTAACTCCAATCGATATCTTCTCTATTCAACATTAGTATATGTTATTAGTATGAGGTGTTATGATAACAAACAGGTATTGGATATCACTACACTGCAGATCTTGTTGATCAGTGATAATTGGCGGAGAATTGGATCGGAGGATGGAACAGATCTCCTGGACATGACTGACATAGTAGCATTTATACTCCTTTTGATTTCTATAGAAATCTAATTTTGGATTGAAGATAATTCGCTCGTGAAATTTCACGGGAATCAGAAGTCATTTCCCACATATGGCGTCATATTCTGTACTAGAACCATAAATGGTTGAAGTAGGTGATGAGAAATCATGAATCGATGGTGTTGATCTCTGATACAGTGTCGCATGAAGGAACTTGCAAGGTTAACACTCCAACGCACAAGTCAGTCTAAGATTCAAGACAATTGTAGCGAAGAGTGGAGATCAGAAAATATGTATTACATTTTGTATGAGATGACCTTTATACATTGAGTCATATGGAGTGGATTTGCATTGACATGACCTTTGCGATTTGGGTCTTTGACCGGTACAAAACAACATACCATGTATTTATCAAGAATTCCATAAAAATTCAATTTATATAATATTAGGTCATGAGTATAATGTTAAAAACCTTTTTCCGAGTGGACTTCAAGTTTAGTTAGAACTCCATTGAAATAATTGTATCTCACCCCATGTTAAATATTTCAAATAACTCGTGACAAGGCAAAGACAAAGGCAAACTGACCTGAAGAATTAAAGACTTTGTGATTTGTTTATTGTGTTTTCGTTGTAATTTTGTGTTTAGCATTTCATTTTGACATCCACTTTATATATGTACTGTGTTATGTAACATTGTATTGTACATGTTTTGGATATCATCTAGACACTATGATTATACTTGGTATTATATATACGCGAACAATATTATTCAAGAAGAATATTATGATTGTACTTGGTACCATTGAATAATATAATGCTAGACGAAATAAAAATATAACATGTTGGCTAAGCTAAGGTGGTGAGAATATAACATGTTGTCAATTTAAAAAGAGAGCAAGAGAATATGACGCCTATCCATTCTTTTTTCAAACCTGTGACAATTTCCTCAATTTTCTCTCACTCTCAAAATCCATCATACACTTAATAAAAACACATTAATTTTCATACTAGTTTTTTATTTACCATTTTCTATATATAAACATTACTTTTTCCTAATTCTAGTTATGTTACTATCTTCTACCTCTTTTTCCACAATTTCCTCTCCCACAAGACTGAATCTCAAATGTGTTTTTTTGATAATCGGTTGTGTTCCAATTAACAACCAGCTCATTTTCAATATCCACATGTCATTTCATTCCTTAACCAAACAACTTTTCTTCCTCTTTTTCTTCTTCAAAACAAATCAATTAGTTATTACATTCCTTTGACCATGAAGCTCAAACATTATTCTTATTAGCTCTTACATAGATTGCCTATAAAGTTACAAGGATTGATGCCATTTCTAATTTTAAGGTTTGTTTTATTATCATTATCATTGTCATTGTCATTGTCACATACATGTTCCCATGTTTTTATTTGTTTGTTTTTCTCTTTTTATTAATAAATTCATAGTTTGTTAAGGTATCAACATAATTAGTATTTCTTTCTTCATAACGTGGTTACCATGAATTTGTTTGATTCGTGTTATGTATCATCTCTTCATAACCAATTTTCATCCAGAAATTCTCTTAAAGGGTGTCATTGTGGTGCAAACTCATAGTGTCAAAGCCTCTCAAGATGCCTGATTTTCCCAAGGTAAGAGTTTCATCGTCTTTTAATCGATTTTCGTATATATATATATATATATATATATATATATATATATATATATATATATATATATATATATATATATATATATATATATATATATATATATATGATCATGGTTTTAAATTGTGGTTTCGCTCCAGCTTGCATTATTGCTGCAAACCGTTATTGTATGGAAAAGTGTGACCGGTGGATATTGCAGAACAAAATTTTTTCAAAATTTAATCAAAGTTTTGGTTTTATGCATAAATGCAGATGGATCACAATATATCCGAAGAACGTTTTGACAAACGTTATAATGCTCGTAGTTGTCCGAATTCAGGAAACAGTTCACCAACTCATAACAAAAAGTTGAATCAAGAAAAAGATGGTTACACAAATGAATATTCTGCAAGTGAAGGTACTAGACAAATGGACCAAGGTTCTAAAACTGATGCGAAATTCGTAAATATAACGAAACCGCAGAAAATAAATCCTTCGAACAAAAACATTTCTGATGCTTTTTCGAGACAAAGTCCAAAGGCATCGAGGATGCCTTCAAATCCTGAACCTGCAACTCCGTTACCAACAGGAGTTTCAAAGGGTATGTCTAATCATGCAAAGAATAATAGTCAAAGCGGCGTGCCCGGAAGTGGAAGTAGCTCGCGAAGTGACAGTTTAGAGAGCACAAGTTCAAACATTAGGCCACATACTGGTGGTGATGTGAGATGGGATGCAGTTAACATGGTTTTGAAAAATGGTCCTTTGAATCTCAGCCATTTTCGGCTTCTTAAGCGTATCGGTTACGGAGACATTGGAAGTGTTTATCTTGTTGAACTTAAAGGAACTGATGCTCATTTTGCTATGAAAGTAATGGACAAGGCTGCTCTTATAAGTAGAAACAAGCTTCTTAGATCACAAACTGAAAGGGAGATTCTTGGACTTCTTGATCACCCTTTTCTGCCTACTTTGTATTCTTACTTTGAAACTGATAAGTTTTACTGTCTCGTTATGGAGTACTGTAGTGGTGGCGATCTTCATTCGCTTCGACAGAAACAGCCAAATAAGTGTTTCACCGAAGAAGCTGCAAGGTTAGCTGAATCTGTTTTAGGCATTTTTTCAACTGTTTTTCCATTTAGACGTAACTATAGTTTATGTAGCACCGACACTTCAGATCAATGGCGTGTCCAATGTCTGATACGACACGAAACCAACATGGTTATACTGAATCTTATGTTCAAATCTCTTGTGATGTTAGGTTTTATGCTTCAGAAGTTTTGTTAGCGCTTGAGTACCTGCACATGCTCGGCATTGTATACCGAGACTTAAAGCCAGAGAATCTATTAGTCAGAGACGAAGGTCACATCATGCTCTCCGATTTCGACTTATCGCTTCGCTGCTCCGTCAGTCCAACGCTAGTCAAGTCATCCTCCACCCACGCAGGAAATGGAAGCGGAAGCGATTCCGGAGGTATATTCAACGATGACCAAGCAGTGCAAGGCACTACTCAGACATCATCGAGCTTCTTCCCTCGAATCTTGCCTTCAAAGAAGAATCGTAAGGCAAAATCCGACTTTGGCCTATTAGCCAACGGAAACCGCCTACCCGAGCTAATGGCCGAACCAACCAACGTGAGATCAATGTCATTCGTAGGAACACACGAGTATCTCGCACCCGAAATCATCAAAGGCGAAGGACACGGCAGTGCGGTAGACTGGTGGACATTCGGAATCTTCTTGTACGAATTGTTGCACGGCGCAACGCCTTTCAAAGGCTCGGGATACAAAGCGACGCTCTTCAATGTTGTTGGTCAGCCATTGAGGTTTCCGGATAATCCTCAAATAAGTCAAGTGGCTAAGGATCTTATCAGAGGGTTGCTGATAAAAGAACCTCAGAAGAGAATTGCATATAAAAGAGGAGCAACAGAAATAAAACAGCATCCATTTTTTGAAGGAGTGAATTGGGCACTAGTTAGAAGTGCAATGCCACCACATATACCAGATGTTATAGACTTTTCAAAGTATGCTAGAAAGGAAACAGCACCACCAGTTGATAAGAAGTTGCCAGATGCTGGTATGGATAAAAAATGCAAAGATTCAACTGATAATTCTTATGTAGATTTTGAGTATTTTTAGCAGAAGAAAAAAAAAACATGTTTAGATAAAAATATATATACATATTAATACTTGTTTTAACAAAACTCATTGTACAAAGTGTTACCTCCTCTTTTGCAGAACTAATCATTGTAAACAGATACATGTATATTCACTCAAAATTTTATTTTTCCTACTTCTAAGTATGTTGTGTTTTTTTAATACTAATCTCCTTTTTTGAATTTGTTATATTTTTTATTTTAACATCTAAAATGAAAGTTACTTGAGGATTATTATTTAACACAATTTAAAATTCTAGTTAAACAAGAGAAATACAGAAAAGTGGAGTATTAGACCAAGATGAAAAAGTTAGTGAAGATTCTGCTGTAAAAAAACATAACCACAATCTGACATTAATCAAAGTCAAGATGGAAAATGCATATGCTGCTGAAATAGACTGATATTTCAGACCCTCACTAAAAAGGACTCTTCAAAAAGTCACATATTGATGGAAACCAGAAAATCAAGTAATAAAACAGTAACAGAAAAGAATATGATTGGTAGGAATGCTTGTATATTATTGATGAGAAAATGAAGAATTCCTACCATGAAGCACGGGCACCCCAAACACAACACTGACAATAACACAGCGACACCGATACTAATTTGAAAAAATGAATAAATTAAACGTAATCACAAATGTCAGTGCAGGTGTCTGACATAGACACGGACACGTATTTTTTCAAAGGTGTCGGTACTACATATTAGGTACTTGTTGCTGATCCAAACCCTCTTTGACTCTATCAATAATAGTCCCTCCTGGAGAAACAGACTTGATCCAAACTCTCTTTTCACCCATATACCCTACAAAACACCCCCTAAATCCCAAACTACCCAACATTTCCCCATATATCCCAATCTACCCATGTTTGGGTTTTTTTTTTTAATTTTATACAAGGGGGCGCCATGGGTGATGGAGCCTCCCTTATAATTTGTATGGGGGCGCCATGGGGGTTGGAGCCACCCTACAAATTATAAAGGGGGCGCCATACCCCTTGGAGCCTCCCTTAAATGCCCTAAAGGGGGGCGCCATGCCCCATGGAGCCTCCTTTAAACGAAATTTTCAAAATCAAAAATATTATAATTAATAGAATTAAAATTTAATATTATGTTATTCCAAAATTTTTTTTATAAATAGGTAGAGTTGTTGGTAACATTGGTTCATCCAAATTTAGAAGAGTGGGTAACATTGGTATTTTTAATGATATGCGTTGTTACTCTAGAAGTATTTCAATTTGTGTATGTGGTAACCAAAAGTTGTTATAAATATTAAATTCCAAGGTTACACATTTTTTAATTTAAATGACAAAAGTAAATCTATCTAGAACTTGTTCCAACATTTGGACATTTATTCCTCGTATGCCCGGGAAGACGACATATTCCGCACAATCTTTCCATTTTCTCAGTTGTATCCATTTCAGTTGTAATTCGGGTGCTTTTTGGGCGGCCCTTTTTGTTTCTTCTCATATTTTCGTTGTGGTAGATTGTGTCTCCATGATATGTTGGCCAATAGTCCTCACTAGCTACCACTGGAAAACTGTTATTGTAGATACCGAATAAGTTCATAACTTTGTAAACATCTGATAGCAGCAAGAATGGATCGTGACGAGCACTGGAACATGCGGCAATGACATGTGAACAAGGCATGCGGAAGGTTTGAAACTTTTCGCAGTCGCACCAATTTTTATGAAGTTCCACCCTGTAGTGTCCCATTGGCCGACCCTCGTTGTGATCCATTGTCTCGTCAACAATGAAGCTGTAATCGTGACGATCAAATGGTCTGACTCGATGTGAGGCTGCCTTAGAAGTTTCATCCTTCATATATTTCATACTTGATTCGCTGAATAATTGCCCTGATTGCAAAACAGCGCTCCATTTTTTGCCTCTTGACGCAAAAAGTGAGCCCAATCTGTAATAGGTAGCTCTTACCAACGCAGTGATGGGGAGGTTCCTAGTTCCCTTAAATACGCCGTTTAGGGATTCTACAAGATTTGTGGTCATGTGACCCCATCTGCATCCTCCATCAAAAGCCCTTGTCCATTTCTCGACTGGAATGTTATTCACCCATCTTAATGCTTCTGCGCTCGACAATCTTATTTCTTCACGGTAATACATGAACGATGGTTGGTTTAAGGAATACCCAGCGTTCACAACTTTTTTCTGGAGAATTTTGTCCTTAATGTCCCGCATAAAATTCTGGGCAATGTGTCTTATGCAAAAGACATGGACAGAAGGAGGATTGTGCCAACCATTTGCAGGATTGTTGTAGGCGCTCACAATGGAAGCATGTCTGTCGAAAATCAGACATAAGTTGGGTTGAGGAGCAACATGTGTTCTAAGATTTCTAAGGAAGAAACTCCAAGCTTCGCTTGTCTCACCCTCGACCAAGGCAAAGGCAATCGGAAATATATTATTATTTCCGTCTTGTGCAACCGCCATCAACAATGTTCCTTTGTATTTTCCATACAATCATGTTCCATCGACTTGAATAACCGGTTTGCAGAACGCAAAACCTTTGATACATGGTTGAAATGCCCAAAAGAGCCGAGAAAATATCCTACTTCCATCAACGCATGTTCCCTCAGGAGTGTATGCTGGTAGTGACTCCAATATTACAACCGTGCCAGGAACATATTTCTGCAGTGCTAGTAAAAACTGTGGAAGTTGATTGTAAGATTTTTCCCAATTCCCATATACATGTTCGACCGCTTTTATTCTTCCAATCCAAGCTTTCCTGTACGACGGGGTATAGTTGAACCGTGCAACAACATGAGAGATAATTGTGCTAACCTTCACAGATGGATCTACGCCCACAAGATGCAAAATCTCTTGTGATATCAATTGAGAGCTTAGTTTTCCATGATCTTGCCGATTGATGTTGGTTGTGCAACTATGAGGTGGGTTCATCGAACCTATCACCCAACAGTCACTTCTTTTCCGATAGGACGCTGCTAACCGAAACTTGCAACCTTCGTTACGACAAACTACGACATAGCGTTTTGAGTCGTTCCGATTGATGTAAAAATCAACGAAGTTATCCATATGAAACTTTCTTATAACTTTCATGCACTCATCTTTTGTGCGGTACTGGTTTCCCACTTTCAAAACACATTCAATTTGTTGAGAAGGATTGTAGAAATAATCCGAGGAAGTATCGTCTCCACTGAATTGCAAGTTCGTCATGTGTTGGGGAGGACAATACACTTGATTTAATGGTACTTCCTCTTCATCTATGTCTTGCAGTGGAGTCATTGTTGTGTAATCCCCAGTCCCGAACAAATTAACCATTTGATCAACCATGGCCTCTGGTTCTTCTTCCTCCTCGTCCACAACATCAACTTCGTCTATACCCGTTGTTTCGCCAACCTCGTGTTCAGACATATTTGTTGTTTTATGGGGGGTTTTGTAGGGTATTTGGGTGAAAAATTTGTGTTTCTATACAATGAGATGTATACTATTTTTTTGCTTGAATGTATACATATAGATTAAAATCTCACGAATTAAATATTATTAAAACTATAAGGGGGCGTCGTGGGAGATGGAGCCCCTTCTTTAAATTATAAGGGGGGCGCCATGGGGGATGGAGCCCCTATGACACGTGTAAAAAAAAGTAACTTTATGCATGTATGCAGTATAACAAGTGTACGAATTCATCTATCAATATTTCTACACATCAATCTCTTTTTTACACAAATTCAACTATCTCATTAATATCAATAACTATTACAACTACACAAATTTAATTTTTACCTATACAACCATAAATTCAAATTTCAAATTTCAAATTTCTAAATTTCACCTATAAATACTTCTCCTCTTCATTCTAAAAAACACATCAAATATATTCAACAATTCAAATTCTCCCAATATTTTCCTCATATATTCACACTATAGAACACCAAGCAACCTCGCGTCGTATGTAAGTATTTCTACTTGATAATTCACAATGTTGTATTTATTCGTAGCATTATAATGCGTTTACAATGTTCTAATGATATGTTTTATTATTTTTTGTAACAAATACAATGTTCTAATGATATGTTCTCATGAATTTCGTACTCGTGGGCATAAATATTTCCCACATGATCCGTTAATTCAACCTTTTTTGGAGCGAACAGGTTTTGGAGAGGTCGTTAAGATAACAAATTATCTCATTGATTCTAAGTTTATTTTGGCTTTGCAAGAAAGATGGCGACCCGAGACGCACACATTTCATCTTCCAATAGGTAAGGCGGTACAACCAATCCCGTAATTTCATAGGAGAACTCTTGGGGGTTGAACCAACCCCACGAGATTTGAGGGGCCAACCCAACCCTATTTCCAACCGCCAACCCAACCCTATTTCCAACCCCCACTTACACAATCACAGCCATATGAACATACTCCTAACCAATTCACTTCATTCACACACATTGCCTCATCCAGCCAACCACCCCAAAATAATTATGAAGGCATGGGCAACCCTTTTAATTTGGATGACTTTACGGATATGGACTCTTCATGGGCCGAAGTGATGCAAATGTTTGATGACGACACAATGGAGCCGTAAATCGACCCGTAAATCGACCGAGTCATAGAAACTAGTGTATAAGATCTTTCAAATGTACCCATTTGTATGTGATTAAATTTATTTAATCCAATTTAATTTTTATTTCTTGTTTGGAATTTATTAATGAAAATATTAATTATTATTTATTTATAAATTGTTAAAAATATAAAACATTAAAAATATTAAAATATAAATTGTTAAAAATTATTCACAAATTATTATTTACAAAATTATTATTTTTAAAAATTTTTTAAATTATTAAAAATTATTTATTAAATATTTTTAAACTAATTAAACATTAAAAATAATTTTGAAAATTTCGTTTAAAGAAGGCTCCATGGGGCATGGCGCCCCCCTTAGGACATTTAAGGGAGGCTCCAAAGGGTATGGCGCCCCCTTTATAATTTGCAGGGTGGCTCCAACCCCCATGACGCCCCCATACAAATTATAAGGGAGACTCCAACTCCCATGGCGCTCCCTTGTATAAAATTTAAAAAAAAAAACTCAAAGTTAGGTAGATTGGGATATATGGAGAAATGTTGGGTAGTTTGGGATTTAGGTGGGGAAATGTAGGGTATATGGGTGAAAAATTCTCGTACAACAAACTCGTCTTCCCAAGTTGCTTTGTCTACTGGTTTACCGTTCCAAAGTATCAACAGCTGTTTCAGTGTCCCCTATTTTGGTAATTTTCCTGTCAGCAAGCACTTCTAACAGATTCCCACAATCCTCCTGACTCTTTTTCCAAACCAGTAGGCAAATCTTTTTCAACTTGATAGTTTCCAATAGCTCTCTTGAGTAGAGAGCAATGAAAAACTGGATGGATCCGTCCGGTATCTCACAGTTTGAGCTTTTACGCAACAGCTCTAATCGTCTCAATCACCTGATATGGAATTAGATCATTGTCTCAATCACCTGATAATGGCGTGGAGCGAGTTTTGGATTAATTCTCACCTCCACACCTTGTCTGCACATGTGGTTTGAGCTTAAAAAAATACCCAATCTCCCACAGCAAACTTTTACCAATGATTTTCTCACATGCATGAAAGTATTGAGGTGCATTCTTTAATTCATGATCCAGAATGGTTTGACAGCAGGGAGGTGTCAGAAGAAGTGCATAACAATGTTGTGTTGAAGAACAACATTACTGACTTGACAAAGGGGATATAACAAAACCAGGTTTTGCCTACTGTAATGCGGATGTTGTTGTATGAGGACAGGTTAGTGTTGGCTTTAACTCAGTCCGATAAAGATAATGACTTGATAACATAACTCGATCTTAATGTTAAAAATAACATATACTAAATTGATTTTTCGTGTTCTTTCAATTTTGACTGATTGAATAGCCAACTCAGCAAACATATCCCCTAACTTCCACATTCTAAAGAAAATAACAAAAGTTCATATAATGCATTTTAATATTTTCACAAAAAAATTACTTAAATATCTATAACAAGAAAACATAAGATAGAGAGTAGCTAGCTCCTCAATTTGGGGATGTTATTACATTAAATCCCCGTTTGGGGCTTGGAAAATCCAAAATCAGTTCATGTTCTCTACCATGCTAATAAACACTATGTGAATACACCCCAAGCTTTTCTATCTGTAGTGTGGACAATCCAGGCTTAGGAAGCCCTTATTTTAAGTCAATCACAAATGAGGAAAGTGTAGTTTCCCTTCTGGCTTTGCTTCTGCCTGTTATTTCTGTCCAGTATCTGCAACATTCCCTCCACCCAACTTCTACCATTTTTTATTCAAACAAACATATTTCAAATTCAAAATGCAGCATAAAAATGCTTAAACCACAAGAAACTAGTGAACTCTACAGCTTTGCTTGTGTAGTTAATCTTGTTTTCAGCTCCTCGGCTACAGCATCAATGAACTCTTCGGTATTCAAATAGTGCGACCTAGAAACCCTACAACAAAATCAAGAGGAAGTAGTTTTGATTTGTTAATAAAAGGAATAGTTAGTAAGCATTCGGAAAGAACTATCGTAAGGCCGGAAATTACTTGGGTCCGTGAATAAGAAGCGCGAGATCCTTTGTCATTTTTCCTAATTCAACTGTTCCAATGCAAGCTGCTTCCAGTTTCTCTGTATAGTCCAATAATCTACCATTTCCATCCAACTTTGCCCTGCAAAAGTTAGGTTGTTTTAAAAAAGTCTAAAATGGATTACTTAATTTGTTTTATGTACAACTAAAAAAATATAAAACTCCCACTAGCTATAGCTATGGTCGGCTATATGAATCAAAAGACAACATAATACTTCATCATATATAATAACATTTTTTTCTATACCGTTGAGTTCTAGGTATTTCTTAATAGTTTCTCCTATAATTTTCCTCGGTCTTCCTCTATTTCTAGCAAAATATCAGACAACCCTCCATTTGATATATTCTCCTTACTATATACATAATTTACAAGTCTCCTTCATACATATGCTCAAACCACCTAAGTCAAGATTCAACCATCCTTTCTATAGCCGGTGCTGCCCTGACTGCCTAATGCTATCATTCTTAATTCTATCTCGTCTAATATTAAAACACATCCCTCATAGCATTCTCAATTCTATCCCGTCTATTATTAACACACATCCTTCATAGCATTCTCATCTCTGCTACACTCAGCTTACTCTCATGTTGCCATTTCACCGCTCAACACTTTGTGCCATATAACATTGCTGGTCTTACGGCTGTACAATAAAACTTTTCCTTTACCTTGAATGAAACCTTCAATGGCATAAACACCCGAGGTTCTTCTCCATGTCACCCATCCCACATAGGTCTAATGGCTAATATCTCCTATTTCTGGGTCGTTTTATACAATGGACCAAGATATTTAAATTGTGTGACTTGTCGTATGATATGGTCTCCAACTTTCACCTCTAAACTAGGTGTTTGTTTTTTTAATAAATTTACATTCCATATATTTCATCTTACTTCTAGTCAAACCAAAAACCTCCAATTAATGGTAAATCACCCTTTTTTTTTTGGAAAAAAGAAACACTTGGAATAAACACAAATAAACAGCCCTTTAACCTGCTCAGCCTACTAACTGTATTATTACCTAAAATCACAAAGGAACAGATCAAATTTTATTGATTATAGTATGAAGAAGAAACAATTGTATGAGTTTCAGTTTCAATTCTTACCTATGTGCAAGACCTTGTGACCAGGCAAAAATTGAGGCAATACTGTTTGTACTGGTTTCACCACCCTTCTGATGAACCCGAAAATGGCGGGTAACAGTACCATGGGCTGCCTCTGCTTCAATGGTTTTGCCATCTGGGCAAACCTGTCACAAATTTCAGATTCATGAACATCCATGCCAGAGATATAACCGAAGAAAGGACAGACAGAAACAAAATAAAGAATATGCATGAAGGGAAAAGTGAAACGACAAAAGGGTTAGAAAAGCAATACCAATATTGAAGTCATCAAGCCAAGAGAACCAAATCCTGTTCAATGAAAACTATTTTTCAGATCATATTAAAGAATGAGACATGCTAAACCTTGGACATCAACTTTCTTAACAAAAGCAACAAAATTTTGATGAAAAACTAAAAGTTAAGTGAATGAGATAACAGCATATGGATTTCCACCTTGAGCTATGAAATCACTCTGCACATCCCCATCATAGTTCTTGCAGGCCCATACATAGCCTCCGTCACTTTTAACAGCATACGCAACCATATCATCTATAAGACGGTGTTCATACCTAACAATCAAGAATGTGAATTACCAATTTACTAACAAAAGAAAAGATTTTGACAAGCATGATAAGCAACTCATCTAACCATATTCCTGCAGCTTTAAACTTATCACTCCATTGGGTGTCATAAACTTCTTGGAAAATATCCTTGAATCTTCACAAAAGCAAAGAGTTAGAAATGTGCTTGGCAGTCTAACAACTACAACTAATTTTTTTTTTGGGGGGGGGGGGGGGGGGGGGGGGGGGGTGGAAGTTAATGTCTTTTATTTTGGATTTATACTGAAAAACACACATGAATGAAATGCATGCGGATTGGTTTTGTCGTCTAATTAAAATATCATCTCAATTTATTGAAGAACCCCGAAATATAGAGAATGAACAAAAAAATTCACCAGCATACCTTCCATCATAGTTCTTTAGAATGGTATTTTTAGTGCTAAGGTAGAGAGGCCATTTTTTCTCGTGAGCAATGTTCATTGACGCCTCAGCAAAAGCCCGAATGGACTGTTTCAACACAAAATACCACATGCTTACCATTTCCAGGGTAGTTAAAATAATTTTCCCAGAGAATATAGTGATAAAAACATTGCTCAGATACAAACCTCGTCGGTATTATACATGGACAAAGCTACACCTCCAGCACCAGTGAAGTTATACACCTCTAGCTCTTTAGTCTCTTCATGTCCATCAGGTACTGTAAAGCCCAACTAAATTTCGTAAGATGAACTTTTTGGTCTTTTAAGAATTGACATTGGTTAAGCAATGTTGCAATTTCGTGAAGATTGTATATGCCAACTATTTGAGCCATGAGAAACAGTTGACTGGATATTGACTTACCAAACATCAATTTTAGCTTTCCTGGGCCTCTTATAACTGCATCAGTTGCCCGATATTGGTCTCCGAAAGCATGTCTTCCAATGCATATTGGCTTCGTCCAGCCTAAACAATATCCAGTAATTAACATTTGCTATCATACAGAAAAATTCAGACATCAAATAAGTTCTAATTTTTTAGAAACCTGAAACAAGTCGAGGAATATTTTTACAGATGATTGGCTCTCTAAAAACTGTACCTGTATGGAATTAGAGTAATAGTTTCCTTATATGTTAGTTAAAAACTCCGAAAACAAAAGAGGGTTGCAGAAACATCAGAAAATTTAATTACCATTTAAAATGTTCCGGATTGTCCCATTTGGGCTCCTCCACATTTGTTTTAAGTTAAATTCCTTGACACGGCCTTCATCTATGAAAAAGAAAACCCTTCGATATGAATTTCAATTAACACATAGGCAACATGTCTGTACGCTGTTCACGACCTTAGGTTAAGATGACATGGAAGGTCACACATCATTCCAAATAAGAACAATTATGAGTACCTGGAGTAATAGTTGCACATTTGATAGCTACATTATACCTACAATGAAAGGAAAATAAACCCGGTGGTGATATTAGGAAGCCCCGCGTAACAGAATATTGCTTAATAAATCAATACAGAAATGAAAACATTGAAAGCTTCTTTACTCCACCTAACTTTGTTTTAAAGCAGAGAATGGTATGCAGAGGCATCATTGTGATAACTGAGATGTAAACTATGCCGGCACATTATCTAGGACCAATCATTTGCAGCATACCAAAGATTTTATTTTAAAAATTGAAAGGAGTAAAAGAAACACAAGGGGGGACATTGACCAAAACCCTTTCAGGTCTAAAGAACTTGAAAAATTATAACATTCAAAACAAAATTAGTCCACTTTATTTTAGTTAATACTTCAACCAAAACCAAATATATCAAGCTCTTGTTTTGCAGTATATATTTCCTTCAAATATTGATATTCTAACCGTATTTGATAGGGCACTGGTTTTGGGCTCTGAATAGAAAAGTTAGAGAAAGAGCTACTGATGTGGCAGTTGGTTAGGATGTGTGAGGGTATATAGGGAGAAGGGGGCAAGAGTGAGAGGGTCATTCAGAAATATTATTAGAGTTGGTTCGAAGAGATTTCTCTCTGGTTAGAAGCATTGTGCTCTGGTAGGAGGGTCACACTCTGGTTTATCTTTTCTTTCATCACTGAAAATGGCTTTGCTTCACTTTCATACTCAATACAAGTAGACTTTCTAATTTCTATTATGAATCCATCGGTCACATCAGTATTCTACATCATTGCATGTAAGGTATTGAGCATATCTAATATTTAGTCTTCATCCTCATTTAAAACATGTTTTCTTATCAGAGGCAATATGGCTACACCACCACTCTACTGGGAGGGAACATTGCACATGTGTCTGGCGGAAAACACCATGGCTACAATTACCAGAAGTTGATAATGGGTGCCTTCATAATGATTTAACTTGGGGAGACGGAAACACGTGCCAAAAGGAGACTTAATTTCAAGCTTTGAGTGAGATGAATGGTTGGTTCATCTACTGTTGAAGTAAGACTTTGGGGGTATTACAATTCTAGTTAGTTGCCCTCTTTTAAGATACAGATCAGATGCACGGCATAATGAAAAACAGCATTCCAAACATTAAGGTGGCATTTGTTTCATGTTAATATAAATACGTTCTTAGGAATGTCATACATTCCCAAAAACATTCCCATGGGAATGTTACTCCACCATGGAAATATTCATTTTCCAATATGTATGTTCCCAGTAGTATATTTATATAATATGAAACAAATGCACCCGAAAGCAATACATGTATATTCGTATAAGAATTTTATGGCAATTTAGAAACTTTAATAAGAAAAGACATCTCTAAGGTATCAACTATCGAGATAAATAGGAAATCCTAAACTGAAATTCAAACATGTCGTCATGGGTAAGCCTAACTATGCACTGAACTGAATCCTTCAAACCATTTTTGGATTAAGAAATAAACAAGATAGAAGTGGATTTCCTCTCAACATTTTACAGTATTGCAACTCTTGATCATAAGAATAATCATAAAGCAAGAATAGTGTGATAGTGATAGAAACAACAAAATAATACGCAATCTCAGGGCAAAAACAAGCAAATAAGCCTTGTGAGAAATATTAGGTCACGTACTTCAGTGTAGCTTCGGCACTTTCAATGGTAACTCTATCATTAGTGGCATCTCGATGAGGAAGCCCAAGATCAAAATACTTAATATCCAGCTCCAAAAATGGGAAAATAAGCTACAAAATGTAAAAATACGTCAAAATGAAGAATAAGTATTTGAAATATAGTTAGGTGGAGATTAAAAGTTAGTATGTCAATAGTTAGTTTAGTTACTAGTTTGTTAACACCTATAAATGGCTTGATAGAATCACTTTTTACTCATTCAATCACATAGAAATTTCAGTCTTCTCCCAATCCTCTCTTTGGTACCATGTCTGCTAACAATAACCATGCCCGATTCGAATCAAATAAGAGCACAAGAAATCACGACATAACTACCTTATCTTTTATCATTCTCCAAATTACTCTTGTCATTTCATCTCCTGCACATGGAAGACAATGAAAGATTGGTTATTCTCAGAAAGAAAGTTGAAGTCAACAAATTGACACTTTCTGTTCTGATACCTATCAAACCCCAGGCACACAGTAAACTTCAAATGATTCACAAGATAGAACTTTTTTTAAATGAAACCTTTCCATTATCCATTTGAACTTGATTCACGATTTGAACAGTGTTAAACATCCAAATTAAAATATCATTCCAAAAATTGAAAAAGGATAATTGGAACTGTGACCCATTTGAATCCAGTTCCTGATAATCACTAAAGCATAAAACTTTCTCTTCTCTATATGATGACTGATCAGAGAAGTAAACAATTTCATAGTAATCAGAAAAACATACCATCCATTTCGACGATGGGATTTTCAACCCTTATTTTCTGAAACCCCATTTCTAGTAAATGAAAGTGAAAATTGAGAGAGGAACGAACAATTCAATAAACACAAACACAGTGAGAGCGAGAGAATGGATCGTCGTTTCCTATGAAGCTAGCATGCTCCAAAATTTTACATGAAACTTTAGAAAAAATTTAACGTTTTTTATTTATGGACAATAAATTATATTCTACATAAATAAGTAAAAAAAAAAATTAGTATAGAAATTTTGTTTTAGGAAACAGTGTAAAAATATACTTTTAATGTATACAGTATTATTTTTTGTCTTAATTTTGTTGAAAATTTGTATTTTATTATTTTAACACTAATTTCTATTAATAGATTTTTGGTATGTATCCTGAAAAAATAAGTCAACAAGATTCTTTATTTATAAGGCCGGTTAAAGTTTTACATATATAGCTTTTGTACCAAAAAAGTAAATTTACATATATCTAAAAAAAACCTAATTATAATAGTGAATTTGTTATGATGGTATATTAATAATATAATAAGAAAGAAAATGAATTTATAATTTTTATATAAATATAATAGAAATATTATTTTAGAAAATCATTATTACATATAAATTATTAAAAAGCTTTTTTTAGAAAAACACTTCTTATAAAAAGAAAGAGTTTTTTTATTTAAATAGAGGAGCACCATTTACTATGAAAGTATGCTAGTAATTTATGATAATACTTTTAAATATTCAATTGCATATTTCAGCCGATAATTTTTTTAAGAGAGACAATCCATCTCAAAAACAAATCACTAAGAGCATCTCTAACACTGAACTCATTTTTGGGTTTTTTGTGGACCTATTAAATCACGTCAGTTTGAAGCAACTCAACTAATTTTTTATTTTAATAGTGCAACTCTGAAGAACTCATATTGGGTTCCACAACTTTACTTTATATATTAATATTTTATTCATATTAAATTTTATATCACTTAAAATAATAATTTTAATTTTTTACAAAAAATTATTTCAGTCTACTATATAGCCCAACGGGTATATAGTGTTGTTTTAAGGAAAAATATTTTATTCTACTACATAAACTTAAAAAAAATTAGATTAAACTTAAAAAAATATTTCAATCTCTCCTTAGTTAATTTTAGTGTTTTAAATTAAATTTGATATAAAATTAAAAAAATCGAAATTATAATTATAATTTAAAATAAATAAAATTCAAATTAAACTTATAATTTAAACTTATAATTAAAATATAGTTTTCATATTATAAAATCAATATTTTAATATTGTAATTATAGTTTTCATATGATAATTAAAATGATAAATAGAATTTTATATTAAATTATAATTTTCATATTATAAAATCAATATTTTAATATAAGAATCGTTGAAGAACCGTTGCATAATTAAGAATCGTTGAACAGCATGGCAATCTTGAAAACAACAAATATGAGTGTCATGTTGGCAAATCTACCTTAAGAACTCCCATTGGAGTTGGTCTAATTACTGAGAAGTACGTAGATATAATATATATATATATATATATATATATATATATATATATATATATATATATATATATATATATATATATATATATATATATATATATATATATATATATATATATATATATATATATATAGGCATAACATTATTTTGGTGTAGCATTTTTTCTTTTCAATTATACTCTTTTCAATTTTTATTTTAAATTTTAACTTCTCACTCTAACAAATGTTGGTTATATGGTGGACATGTGATAATTTATTAACTTTTACACCATTATATTTCTATTATCTTATAAATAATAAATAATAAAATTAAAATTAAATAAAAATAATATGATATATATTTTACGCGCGTGGGTATTATAAAAAGCAGACAGACACGTGTTCGTCTGAACGCTAGCGTTTAATAAATACAAATAATTCTAACTATAATAATATCTAAGTATGCTTCATGGGGGTGCTTCTGATATATGTGGTTGGTCTTTTTCAATTAAGTGATCGTTTTCCTTATTGTGTGGGTAGAACTACTTTATTCAAGACCAAGTCGCCCTCTTGCATCTTTTTTAGTTTTATCTTGGAGTTATATCTCCTCACAACCCTGTGTTTGATAGTGTACTCTCAGACATAGACAATTTCTCTCGCTTCGTCGACCAGGTCTACTGTGCATTTTAAACCTATCTCGTTCGCCTCTTCATTGAACTAGGATCGTTGCCACAATGGCATGTCAATCTCTAGAAGAAGTATGGCATCCGCTTCGTAGACCATACAAAATGGGGTTTCCTTTGTGGTAGAATGCGGAGTAGTGTGGTATGATCATAATATCTCGGGGAGTAGTTTCACCCATAAACATTTGGCATCACGAAGCTTCTTCTTGAATCCCTTCAAAATTACTTTGTTGGTTGACTCGGCTTGACCGTTGGCTTAAGGGTGTACCATATACACGAATCTTGTTTGTACTCATAAGTCCTTGTAAAAGTCGGTTACCATAGCACTAGAGAATTAGGTCCCATTTGTCGGAGACAATGGTTCTAGGTAGGGGTGTCAAAATGAGTCGTTGTCTGCCAGGTCGAGACGCTCACCTGCCAAAAATTGCAGGTTGCGTTAGAATTTGGATTCGCTCAACCCGCCTCTGCAAAACAAAAAACCCCACAAATTAAAGAGGTAACAGGGCAGGATGGGCCGCCAAGCCCGCTTAATTTTAAAAAAAAATGTTAAATACAGAAGAAAAAAAACCTAGTTTTTTTATTTTATAAAGTCAATCCAAAACATCTGATCCAACTATCCAAGCCTAGGGATGGCAATTGGACTTATCCCTAGTGGGTACCCACAAAAACTATCCATAATGGGCATGGTAAAAACCTACAAAATGAATACGAATATAGGTACTGGCAATTACCCGTTAAAATAAGCAGGTTACTCATAAGTCCTTGTAAAAGTCGGTTACCATAGCACTAGAGAATTAGGTCCCATTTGTCGGAGACAATGGTTCTAGGTAGGGGTGTCAAAATGAGTCGTTGTCTGCCAGGTCGAGACGCTCACCTGCCAAAAATTGCAGGTTGCGTTAGAATTTGGATCCGCTCAACCCGCCTCTGCAAAACAAAAAACCCCACAAATTAAAGAGGTAACAGGGCAGGATGGGCCGCCAAGCCCGCTTAATTTTTTAAAAAAATGTTAAATACAGAAGAAAAAAAAACTAGTTTTTTTATTTTATAAAGTCAACCCAAAACATCTGATCCAACTATCCAAGCCTAGGGATGGCAATTGGACTTATCCCTAGTGGGTACCCACAAAAATTATCCATAATGGGCATGGTAAAAACCTACAAAATGAATACGAATATAGGTATTGGCAATTACCCGTTAAAATAAGCAGGTGTGGGCACGAGTACAGATACCTTATTATCCACACCGTCTTATACCCGCATAATATATATTTATATATTTTTATTTTATTATTATAAACACATGTATGTTTATCAATATTTATAAATACATTACTATTAAATTTGCACTCATTTGAAAATGACATGATAATATTTTATTTATTTATGGACAATAACATTCTGGAATTTTTTGTAAAATGATGTTAAAAATTGAAAATGACATGATAAATTATAATTGATCGATAATTTTTTATTAGAAATGTGGATAACGAGCATGGGTATTGGTACTTAGGTACCCATAGGATACGGGTACGAGTATACATTTTAGTGCCCATGCGGGTATGGGCTCGAGTACGTGAAATTTTTCAAATAGCGGGGTATAGGATGGGTACTATAGGCACCTTACCCAAACTCGTTTCATTGTCATCCCTAAGCTGAATCCATTAGAAATTAGGTTATGATTTGAATTAAAAAGTTAGAGACTACAACACACATCACACGCATACACGACATGTTGATGCGTAGTACGCAAACGATAACAAAGAGTCGAAGACGAAGACTGCTTTTCATTTCTTAGTCACATGCTCGCACGGATGCTGAAGGAAGTTTGCCGTCCTTGTGCAAGCTCTCCTCTCACGCAACTCTCCTCTCACTTTCAGGAAATCGCTCTCCTCTCACCCTCGACTCTCCTTGCAGGTGCAACTCTCTGTAGACTTCAGGTATTGGCCTTTTTCATTTTAGGCAAGTTATTAAGACTTAATTTGGATATGGATTTCTTAGCTATGTCAATCAGTAATAAACATTGAATTTATTGTGTTTTAGGACTTGAAATTATATAACATTTGGTTCTTTTTTGTTACTATATCAATCAGTAATAAACATTGAATTTATTATGTTATAAGACTTTGTTTGGATATGGATTTCTTAGCTCCAATTGATGAGAGTGGTGATGTTAATTTGGACCTAACTGTTGAACAATAATGTGAGTCGGTGGAACCTAATAGTAGTAAGTTAATGGAACCTAGTAAAAAAAAGAACACTAAGAAAAAGTTCAATCCCATGTGTGGAAGTATTTCACTACGATTGAAGGGTTGGATAGTGATGGAAGGCAAAGAGCAAAATGCAATGCATATGGTTCATCATATGTAACTGGAGGAAAACGATATGGGACAAGTTCTCTAAAATGTCATTTTGATGTTTGTAAGAAAGTTAATTTTGGAGATGTTGGTCAGATGGTGTTAAACATGTAAGAAAATTTAAAATCCTTAAAAATTGATAATTTAATATCTCATGAAATGTGTGCTCAGATGATTATCAAACAAAATCTTCCTTTTAAATTTGCTGAGTATGTTGAACTTACAAATTCGCTTTAGTACTTGAATCCTAATTACATTCCTATCACTAGAAATACCATCATGGTTGATGTTGTGAGAATATATAATGGGGAAAAGACAAAGATTAAGATAAAAATGACCAACACTCCTTATAGATTTTCTTTAACTTATGATTTATGGGCATCAATTAATATTGAGGGCTATATTACTTTAACTACCCATTATGTTGAAAAAAATGGAAGTTAAAATGTAAAATCCTCATCTTTTATCACATGCCTCCCTCTCACACTGGTTTTGAATTGTGTAAAAAAACAACTAT